TGATGAGAGAAAACCAAGAGCATTGTAAGGTCAATTAGATTGAATTTTAGGCAGCTTTCAGACTTTCAGCACATTTGGTAAGTTTTAGTTTAGCCGTATCAATTCAATTTGAACATAAAAAAAAAACAGTTTCAGAGTTTTTTCTTTTATATTAAGTATTGAATAAATTCGTATTAGTATATATTTTAAAAATAATTATTTCATAATGTATCCCTTGTAGAAATCTATTAATAGAGTAATCTCATAAAATCTAAATTTAATTACATACTTTACAGATTTAGTTCATAGATGGGAATTTATTGATTGATTGTACGGTACTGATTTGAAAAATAAATTTTTTTATACTTGTCAGTTCTGACAATCTGCTGTTTATTATGCAATGGTCATGATAGGTTTATATTCAGATATCTCTATTTGTATGCACAAGTTTAACTTGTGTCAAAATCATAAAAAAATAATTGTTGTTACAGTATAATAATATTAACTAACTTTCAGATAAGATATTTGCAAATATCTCTAATGGTTTAATCTATAGCTTGGGTATGAAAAGAGTAAATATATAAATATGACAAACATTAAAAGTATTCAGTTTTCCTTATGAAATAAAAAATACATATGTGATTTAAATTGTGTTTTAAGTCATTGTTGTGCTTGTACCAAAGACCTTACATACAGATGTAGTCCTTGCTTTTGAGAACTGTATATCAGGCTTAAAAGTTTACTTTATTTAAAAAAAAAAAAAAGAAACAAAACAACTAAAACCATACCTGATTACAATCTTAACACAGCTGTTAAAAGGGTCCTGGAGGACAGATGTATAAATATTTATACAGTTGCCCGCATCAACCATCAAAAGTACAAAAAGAGGCAGGTGGGGAAAGGACTAACAAGGACAGACATCTACACGTTTGAAAATATCACCATATCAAGCCCGTCATCAGTCATACCTGTGCACCTGTAGGTTTCAGGTTCCCATCCTGTTATATCAACCGGCCACCTGGGGTTCTGTTTATGCTACAGCAATCGTAGTTGCTGGTATGAGGTCAGCTAGTCATTCTTACTGTATGGCATAACATACATGCAAGAAATACAAAAATAAACTATGATTTCATAGCAATAGCAGAGAATAGAAGGGTTTGAAAAAGTTCAGTCTAGGCAACTGGACGTGAAGCTTTTTAGTAGACGTAACAGCACCTCAGAAGCCTCTTGGATAAGAGTTGAAACGTCTTCTAAAAAACTTCCCGTCCAGTTGCTTACTCTAACTTTTTTCCAGGCTTGACTATGACTTTGATGACGGAGAATCTTCACAGATCAGAGGATACAAGGTTAAAGTATAAAGAAGTTAGATTTACTGGATCCTGATTTTATTTTTAACCTCTTCATGACTTCTCAGTGTCATTTGTTTCTGTTTTGGCTTTTATTCTGTGTGGAGAAAATCAGAAATCCACATTTAACAGAGTCTGGACAAAACGTTGAAAATGAATTTCTGTTTAAGAACTTTGTAAACTTGACGTGGTTATATATGGAGGTGTGCCCGCAAAATCGGTGTAATTTTATTAGCATCTATATTAGTCAATATAAGAAGCATTTACTCTAAAATGGCAGTCAGTAAGCTCTAATTTTCACTTGAAACATTTTCTGCCTTAAAATTTTTGCCCTCCTTTCTTACTTGGGCCCCAATCTTCTCTCATGCATTTTACGTCTCTACATCAGCAGCCTCTGACAAGACCCAGTCATCCAGACATCCCAATTTCCCTCTATGGAAAATCCCCTTCTTATTCTCCTGACAAAATGTGATTAATCATCCCATTAACCCATCCACTGTCACTGGATTGTTGAGAAGCACTTATAACACAACCCCTACCATCCCTAAGGGAGATATCTAATCATCAGGCCATCTTCCAAAAGCTCTCAGGCAAAAAATCTTGTCTTTGTGTGCTCCACACCTAAAATAACTATCATTCAGGATAAGCTTTATGGTCTGTCACAAAATCTTGCACTGAGTCAAGAGGTTCTTGACTCACAGCAGAGAAACCTTAGAACAGTTACACACTCGAGAGGAAAATGTTTGTCGGCAAATTACACCAAACTGTAATAAGATAGTGAAAAATGTTAGGTGAGTAACAGCTTGGAGTAACAATGTTCAGTTGGGAAAACTCTAATTAGCTAGTATTATGACATTTACTACAGAGGTAAACTGTTCTGAAATAAATTCACCCCCTTTAAGGATTTATAGACCACTTCTCTATTTAACAGAATCCCAAGTAATAATCAACAAAAGCTTCAGCTTAAATTACAGAGGGGTCAAATGATTACGAAACCTTTGATTGTGTAATTTTTTTTTTCTTTGTTAGTTTACCAGAGTTTTTGTGTTACACCAGCCTGAGGTGTTGCTGTATTCTATAATGGAATAGAATACAGTGGTTCACTTATTTCATTCTTCCTGGTCAGGGTGATGGGTTAGGAAATGGCCATTTCCAGTGATCAGTAGATAAGAGGCACAGTAGAAACTGGACAAGTAACCAGTAAACCACACTATCTCAGTGAGAAATTGACCTAATTTTAATAGCTATTAAATAAACGTAATCATGCTAGTGGCAGCTTTATGCCATGGAAGCTTGTCAGAGTTTATGGGATGATGTAAGGGGCCAAGTACAGGCTAATCCTAAAAAAAAAAAAGTCTTTAGACAGGGTGAAGGCTTTCCCATCAGAACAATAAAATTAACTCACTACTGTACCCACAGTACAATAGAGGGTTAGATCAAAGCCAGTTCCTGATAAAACTACCCAGTCGAAATCCACATACAAAAGATGATCTGTTTCTTGTCACAAACCATTAATATTCTGGCAGAGCTTACACTGTTGTGTAAAAGAAAAATGCGTAATAAAATAGTCTTTAAAGTTCAAATCTTCTGGAGAGATTTCCCAAACGACCTACAACTATATCGTCAGGAGGTGGGACAAGGGTCAGCATCCCCCCTCCTTGGACATTCATGCACAACATTACCTATTATAACTCATGTGCAATATTCTTTTATCTCACTGTGCAATAACACATGCCAACTACTGTGTAGCCTGTGTAATTTTTTACTTATTTATAAGGTCAGTACATCTGTGCAGTACAAGTGCAATAATCCAAGTCAACTACTATGTAGTCTTCCCTTAGCTCTCTATTGTGCAGATATTTTTATATCTGAGGGAAACGTATTCCAGAAAATTACAACTTTCTTCTATTTTAATGCTTTTTTGTACTATATACACTCTTTTTATTTTGCCTGTCATATCTTTATCTTTAATGGCATCTTGCGTTAAATGTTTGTACTCTATATAAGCTACTAGAACTAGCATTGTCCTGAAGCAGTAATCCCAAGATATAAATTAAGATGAGTCTAAGTCAAATGTTCTAGAAAGTGTTAACTTAGATGGGAAAACTACAAAATGCAGGCCTTATTTTTCTGATTTATATGTTTCAAAATGTTTAAAGATCTATCCCTTTTTTCCTCCTTTCACCAGACAAGGAGCTGCATGTATGGTCTGGGAAAAAAAATATCACAAGAAAGACTAAATAATACATTTCACAATGGAGGGAGGGAAGATGAAAGTTAAGACAAAAAGGCAAAGACATCTTAGAGAAATAATGGGATTAAATGCATCTCTGCTAGTTTTACATTTCATATTTATTGAAAGAAGGAATAGCATTGAGTCGATTTGTAAAAAGTAACAAAACATCAACTATAACACATTTAGTTCAACAAACCTCAAATTCAATAAAGAAGCTTATAAATACACATTGTTGAGTTGTTGGAATAAGTCTAATGAGAATCACAGGGATCATATCATGGTGAAAATATGAGATAAAAACCTGAACATCTGTGAAAGAACCGATGTAACAAAGCCAAACTGGAGTGAATGGTTTCTTTTTTAACAATAAGGTGCATTTCCCTTTTACAAAAAAAGACAAAACAGTGAAGCCCCATGTGTCAATGAGAATAAACATTTTAGAAAAGTGACCTTAAAACTGACTAATTCATCTGTTTGTAGAAACAATGCTTTTCTTCTTCGAGCTTAAAGGAAGATTGGATAAAAAAAATAAAATAAATACAGTTTATTGATCAGCTGGATAGACTATGCTATACTATTTACAGAGAGCACTTAATATTTCACTATTGTTCACCACAACATTACCCATATATATTTGAACCATGATAAGTACTGTAGAATAATGTTAATATGGATATTCTGAAATGATATGAAAAGGAGACTAGGATATGAATATATGGATAACAGTTGAAGAGATGCCTACAGAGAGGTTAAAGTCTGTGCATCAAAGTGCATAATGAATGATGGAGCTGTTCCAGCACCTAGGGATTGTTCAGGCTTCTAGGACAGTATAATAAATGGCCCAGTCCCCCCACTAAAAAATACAGCCTTTTCACTGTAGCCCTTATAATGCAATGATTCACAAAAGCTAAAAATTGTATTCATTCCTGCTCAAGTGTTGAGAAGTGGAAAGTAAGAAGAGCAAAGTCTGGCTTGAAACTGGCCCTAAGATCCACACATGGCACACAAGCAACATTTACGTACAGTTACCCAGTATTTCCTGCCCAACTCATCAGAACTTCTGAGCAATCGACAAGACATCAGACATCTCTTGTGTATGACGATAAAAGGTAAAGCTGAGCTTTGCTGAGAGCTCTCATCACTATCAGCCACTTACCAAAACATTTTCATTAAAAAACAAAACTATATAATAAAAACAATATCAATAATGTTTGGGGTAAGAAAAGGTTTTAAGGAACAAAAAACATTAAAAAAAAAAATAAAAAAAAAAAAAAAATGAAAAAAAAAAAAAAGAAAACTGATACAGACTGGGCCAGAATAAAAACATAGCAATCTGAAAATAAATATTTCACAATACTCTTGGTTTCTAAAAAAAAAAAAAAAAAAAAAAAAAAA